TTCACCTATAATAGGACCCTAAGTCACCAAGGTGTTTCATCTATAATAGGACCCTAAGTCACAAAGGTGTTTCACCTACAATAGGACCCTAAGTCACAAGGATGTTTCACCTATAGTAGGACCCTAAGTCACAAAGATGTTTCACCTATAGTAGGACCCTAAGTCACAAAGATGTTTCACCTATAGTAGGACCCTAAGTCATAAAGGTGTTTCACCTATAGTAGAACCCTAAGTCACAAAGGTGTTTCATCTATAGTTGGACCCTAATTCCCCTACGTTTGATTCTAACTACATTAATTAATAGAAGCTTAGATACGATACAGTCAATGACGGCAGATCTACTTGAAAATCAAAGCCATAAAGATGTTAATGAAGGTTAATATGCCAGAAACAGCTAAAGGTGTCTGACCCCCTTTAGGACCGGATGGAGAAGGGCCAGTAGTTGTCTGATTCCCGCCGTAAGGGACAGTAGTTGTCTGAGGCACGCCCGTGTTACATAGACTACCTTCACAGCACTGAACATTACATTTAGTGATAGCTCCTGTGCTGTTCATGCTGTTACAGAGCATGTTGCCAGAACACATCGAAGACACTGAACAGTTTCTGGATTCTTGTTCAATAAGGGCCCCTGTCATTGGGTTCTTGACTGATATCTTGACAGTCATACAACGGTCAAATGGCATACCTGGAGCAATCTCACCGCATTTCTAAAAAATAAAATAAAAACATACATTAATATATACCAAAGGGATTACACTTGCACACTACATGTACACAGCAATAGTGATTACACTTGCACACTACATGTAGACAGCAATGAGTGATTACACTTGCACACTACATGCGCAAAGCAATGAGTGATTACACTTGCACACTACATGCGCACAGCATTGAGTTATTACACTTGCACACTATGTGTACACTGCAATGAGTAATTACACTTGCACACTACATGCGCACAGCAATGACACTTGCACACTAGACGCTATCAGGCAAAAATCACTATTAGTTTACATGTGGATAACTTTTTAACATATCATTCCTTACTTTTTGTTTTGGTGCGCTGCAGCTGATCAAAGGAGTACCCGTACCGTTTGGACCCATTCCCTCAGGACTACATTCGTAACACGACAGTGATACGTTAGATGCTGAAAGGTAAGCTAACTGTTAACTAAAGTACAATAACTGATAAAAAATAAATGAAATCTATAATTATAATTGTTTGAGGCCCTTTTCAGATTTGAAATTATATCTTTTCGTACGAAGACTGTTCGTTTAAAACTCATAAATTACCTGGTTTAGGTGTCACTCCACTACCTATAAGGGAAAAAAGATAGATAAGGAAATTATAATGATGATGGCGGTGATATAATGGTGGTTATTGAGGTGGTGACGAAGGTGGTGGTGATAATGGTCATGGGATGATGATTGCGATGGTGATGATGATGATGATGAGGATGTTGGTAATGGGATTATGATTGTTGGGATGATAATGATACGATGGCGATGGATTGCATTGGTGGTGACGGTGAATGATACTGAAAAATGTTCATGAGCAATGATGTTGATTATTTTTCTGAACCTCCCCTTTTCAAATGATTTTACGCCTAGGTGTTTTACATATCGCTCCAACTACCAGCAAATTCAATTGTTTTTTAGATGCGTTTCACATTGGATAATATAAAGTCATATAAAAAGACACCCTGACAGCTGTGCAGTCTATAAATTTTCCAATATTTGCTCCCTCGACATTCCATAATCTCTTACTTAAAGCAATAAAACTTAAGATGGCCGCCGCGAGCGGAGCACCATACTTAAGAAAAAATGTTAAACTGTCGAGTTGATTTTTCATGGCTTGGCTGACGTCATTTCCGTCCATCCGTCCGTACGTCCGTGTACACAACACAGGAATCCCGATTAATGTCAAACCAAAACTACTCACAAATGCGGCTCTCAAATGCACAGAAAAATTCGCTTGAAAACAAGTTATAGACCAAAAACATTTTTAAAAAACTTTCATGTAGTCAAAGATGGATCAAGAAGTGTTCTTCAAGAATTCAGGTGTGTGTTTTTTAGCAAACAATCGTATATATTTTTTTTTTTTACAAGCATTTTTCTTGACGAATCGTCAAATCAGACTTTCTCTCAAAACTTTTTATATTTCTATAGATAAGCTTAATTTATTTTAATGTTGGAGGAAATGTAACACGGAGAGCATATTACGACAACAAATATTTGTCCTTTATTAAGCTTTGTAACTCTTTTACAATTCGGCTGATTTTAACCAACTATCGTATGTTTTTCGTTCAAGTGCAGCTTTGTTCGCCTCCTATCGCGGGGTCACATCGGCAAAACAAAGAAGACTTTCATTCAATAATTTTATATCTTTCTACATATAATTTATTTAATTATTGAATGAAAT